GGGGGCCGCGCGCCGCCCGAGCTTGGCCGCCTCTGCCGGCGCCGCCGCTGCCGCTCCCATGCCACCTCCCGGCCGCAGCGGTCCTGAAGAGATGGGTGGCCCTGGCACGAGAGAGTGCGCCTGCTCTGCCCTCTGCTATGCACCTTCAGGGATCCTGGCTCCCCGAGGGCACTCGCTGTGAGACCGAATACGGGGGAGTGTGGTACGCCCCCTTCTCCGCACCCCACCTGCCCGGTTGTAGGCAGCTCCCTGCATAACCTGCTGCTCTCTGCGGAGCCCACGCGGAGGTGCGACCTCCCCCCACGCCCAGTTTCGGGAGCCAGGTTTCGAGCACTACAACACTCCCCTCCTGAGCCAGGTGGAGGTCGTGGACTGCTCAGCGAGTCAGCGCTTAAATCCTTTTTCTCGGAGGGAACTGTTGGAGTTTACGGCGTAGGAGCTGCTTTTATCTGCCCATTATATAGCTCCATGTGCTACTTCCTCACTTTCCAAGAAAATGAAATAACTGGACCTAACACAGTTCTCTCGGGTGTCTCACTGGACCACTCCAGAGCTTGCAGCGTTATTGTTATTTTGGCCTTCTGTTTCGACCGTTCCTCCAGCTGCGCCACTCATCAGATGGGCTCAGGAAGCCTCCTGAGCTATGCATGGGTTGGGGGGGAACAAAGCAGCTCAAAAGCAGAGCAGAGCAGCTCCTGGTGCCCAGGCAAAGGGCACCCTTCGATTTACACCATTCTGCCTCCCAGCCTGAGGCAGCCCCAGCACTACTGGGCAGGCTGGCTGAGTGGTTTTCTCTCTCAGACTCCTCATGTGTGATAGCCAGAGGGGGTCCCAGCAGCCCCAAAACGGAAAAGAAAATATTGGCTGCCCCCAAAAAGGCCCTTTTAGCCAGCCAGCGGAGCCCAGTGAACAGCTGTGAACTCATGCTCTCCTGCCTCTATCCAACCAGGCTGAGGTAATATGGGTGCTAAGGCACATGGTTGACAGCCTAGAGGTTGCAAGTTTGAGGTCAAAGCAGAAGTGCTTGTGCTGTGGCCCTGTCAGATTCCAATGCACAAATCTGCTAAATACCCTGTCATAACAAGGACACAGGAAGGAAGACAAGCCTCAATCCAAAGCCCAGGCCCAGAGTCACCACATCTGCAGACAGGTGTGCCCTTTCTTTATGTGCTACAGCCCAAGGGGGCTGCCATAGCTCCCCTCCAAGAAGAATCCTCTGCCCAGCTAATAGAATAGGGACAGGCAAAATATGGCTTGCGGGCTGGATCTGGCCTGTCAAGGGATTCTATCCAACCCACGGGTGCACCCCTGAAGAATTATTTCCTGCCTGCTGCTCTGAAAGCTGGCATCTGCACATCTGCAAAGCTGGCATCTGCACAGGCAGCATACCCCATACCCTGGCCTGCTCTGACCCCCAATTTCAAGGCAGGTGGACCTGAAGAGAAGAAGCTTCTGTCCAGCAAGGCTTCTGCCCCCAGTGAGAGGTCCAAAAATAAAATGGACCCTGCCAAGCGCCCTCTGCCCAGCCAACAGAGGCCACAGGTAGCCATGAATGTAAGCTCTTTGGCCTTCCAGCCCAAGGCCCAGGCACAGAGCCATCAAGTCTGCAGGTGGGTGGGCCATCTATTTAGGTGATAATGGCTCAAGAGGCTTCCCAGAGGCCCCCAAATGAAAAAAAAACAACAACAAACAATCCAGGCCAACCAGTTCTGCTTTGGCAAGCCTCTTGATTCCTGTACTCTGGTTTTTGGCTTTTTTGTGGACTTCAGCTTCAGATTTCCCTGCAGTTCTGTTTCCTGGCTCCTAACTCTGGTTTGGCTCTATTTTCACATTTTGTCCTATGGATTGCCCTTCAGATCCTGGCCCTGAGCCATATACCAAAAGGGGCATCTGACCCCCCCCGATCCTGACCTTGGACTGTGCTGTGGACTCTACTTCTGGATTTTCTTCCTGTTTTGGTATATGGTTCCTACCCTTTAACCCAGGCCCAGGCCCTGCTTTCCCTTGATAGTCTAACAATTAGGCAAGACTGCCTACACCCCAGTCCCTTACGCCACCCATCCTCATAGACCCTCTCAGGGCTTGGATTGAAGCATGAGCTCAAATCTGGTGGAGAAAGTATCGGGGGGAGGGAGGGAGTTGGTACTGTAGCTTCCTCCCCACCAAAGGGATGTCCAGCTCTTAAGTTATCTGTCAGTATTGTTTACACACATACTTTGCTTTCAGCATGTGGATAGTTCTGTTGAATTCTAGTGTATACTTGTTTGCATGGATCCATAGTTTAATTGTTGTTTAGGAGAAAATTTAGCTTTAGATAAGAACAATTGCCAAAATTGTCTCCATATTTTTCACATTTTTCAGATAGCAGATTTGCTCATCTAAAATCTTCTAGTACCATTACCTTCCCAAGACATGACTTTTCTGAAGAAAATGTCAGCTAATTTAATTTATGTACAATTTTTACTCCACCTTTTGAAGAGACTCTTACAGAAAGTCCAGTATGATTTCACTGCATAGAAGAGAGTGAGGATGGAGGCAGTAGATTTTTGGGAGACTAGTTATACCATCCACATGTTCAGAGAGAAAATAAGTACCCTGAGTGTGTTGCTAGTTTATTTGTCTCTTTCAGAATGATCCAAATATTATCCATGTTTGTTGGAGTCTATTTACTTTTGTGAACCTAGGATCAGGCTCTTGAATACTTGGAAATGTTGCAGTACTCAATCTGGAATATTCTGCAGTTTTCATGAGGTAAAAGACAATACGAAAAATAATACATTTGAGACAGGGAATTCATTTCAAAGAAAAAACTGTACAGTTAACTTGAATCTTAAATAATATATTAACTTCATGTTCTTATTATTTTTATGCCATATTTATCAAATCTGATCATATATCACTACTTCTACATAGGTGAATCATTGTAATATATGAGAAATATTAGTTCCATTAAATTTAATAAGATTTTATTTTACTTATACACTGACTTTTTTCAATTAATTACAACTTCAGATTAAATAAAAACTGACAAAGTTGTGATAAAAATAATTTATTGTTGTAATTTCATGCTTTTTTTCTTATTCTGGTCTCATCACTTCCAGTTTTTCCTTTGGCAGGTAGCTAAATAATTATTAATAACTATATTTCAATTAAGGGTTCAATATAATAGTGAATGGACCCCAAGATACTGTCCATTAGAGTTTGACACTATTGATGCATATGTAACCCCACTTATGTTCTGCATGTTTGGCCATAGTTACGTTTTATAACAAGCGTGCTCAGCTCTGGTGCTAGTCCTGGCCCAAGAAGCCATGTCATTTGGCCTGCAAGGGTCCCTATGGGTCTGAAAATTTGTCAGGGGGAAGTGGGGCAGCCTTAATTGCCACTCACCTGCTGCCAAATTTCTGGGGAACCCTGTGGAATGGATAGGATGGCCCTCTGCACTAAATCAGGTGTGCAGGGCTGGTGCAGCTCTAGGCTGATGCTGCACACTGCCTGACCCAAACACTCATGGCCCAATCCATGCAGGTAGGCCCAGATCTGGGTGCACAGGGCTGGGCCAAGGTGGTGCGGGGCTGGATCTAGGTGTGCCTGCCTAGGTCAAGGCTCTGCTGGGCCCAATCTAGGCATGCAGGGCCAAGCCAAGGTGATATGGGGCCAAATTTGGGTATGTGGGGCCTCCCTGAGAGGACATAGGGCCCAATCTAGGAATGCAGGGCCCGATCCAGGGACACAGACCTGGACTGAGGCAGCGCAATGCCTGATCTGGGCCCACAGACCCGATCTGGATGTGCAGGGCTGGACTGAAGTGATGCTGGCCCAGATCCAGGCATTCAGGGCTGGGTTGCGGGATGTTTGGAGTTTTGGGGCTGCTCACTCCTGTTTTTACTGTTTTGTGGGCTTGGCTTTACTGTTTAGGGTTAACACACAATTGACAATCAAATTTTCTGTCCATCACCCTTCCAAAATTGTGGCCTTTGAAGACAAACATATGTTGCTAATACAGTAACAAAAGGTCATTGGTAGGTCAGCACTCACTGAGCAGTGCAGAGATCTGCAGTGGAGTGGCCCTCAGCTCTAGAGCAAAGACAGTTTATACATGTGGGAAGCAGGAAAGATTCTAGACAGAAGTAATTTCTTGAATTACCTTGTGGCTCACCAATATCTCAAAGAGAAAGTGGCTGTGAGTGTAAATTCTTGTCTCTTGCAATAAGAACTGAAAATCTCTAGCCCTACTTTTGAAACAGGTCAGGGTCTAAAAGATCTGGGGCTGCACAGGGAACCCAGAGAGAGGACAGTGTCTGTAGATGCATCTACATGAGATGCTACATTGCTGTAGTGATGAGCCACGGCGTTGTAGCATTGGTGGGCAGAAACCGTGATGCTGATGGTACTCCTCAATAGCAGTGAGCTACTGCACAGTAAGGTCAGAAATGACCTGTGTGCCACTGGGACTGTGCAGCAATGGCAGTTACTTCACAGTCATTTAGTACTTGCTAAAGAAGAAGACTAACTCAGGGCTGCTGTCTTAAGGCTTTACTAGCTACACTAGTCAAAGTAGCAAGTGCTGGGTAGGGAGAACCACACCAGAGTTGCTGCCACGCTAGCACTTGGGGAGCACTGCTAGATTGTTGTTCTAGCTGCCACTTGCCAAGGCTTGCTGCTGCCATGGTTTGCTGCCACTGGGCGCATCTATACATGTGCCCTACTATGCATTTGTTATTGTGCAATCATTAAGTACTTGCTTTAGTATTAAATCATCATCGCCCCTCTCCACAATTTTGAAAAGTACTTGCTTTAGCAAGTACTAAATGATTGCTCAGTAACAACTGCGCAGTCAGGCACACATCTAGACAGGCCCAGTGGCAGCAAACCATGGCAGCAGCAAACCCTGGCAAGTAGCAGCCAGAGCAACAATCTCTAGCAGTGCTCCCCAGCATCAGTGTGGCAGCAACTCTGGTGTGGTTCTCCCTACCCAGTATTTGCTACTTTGGCTAGTGTAGCTGGTAAAGGCCCTGGACAGCAGCCCTAGGTGAGTCTTCTTTCCCAACTGACTGGGGTAGGTGGTAGCTTCCAGGGTTGATTTGCCAGGGACTGAAGGGCTGATAGTTGTTTTGGATTACAGTAAAGGTCATCTTTAAGGTTGTGTTTGCTCCCTTTTTCCACTGTAATAAATCCTGTTTTAGCTTAACATGGCTTGCAAGTGAGGAAGCTTGTTCACATTAGAACATCCAGTTAAAATTGATTTTCCCAGGTTTCTGGCTGGGGGTTTGAGCCATATTTAGAAAGTTCATGCTAAATCCCCAGTTTTGAACCTGGCCCTTGTTATTGCTGGCTAGTGCTGTCAGAAGGGTTACACATATACACCTGAGATAAATTCACAATCAATAGTCAAACAGTTAATACAAAAATAAGAGAGGAATCTAATGCCAAATATTACCAAAGAAAACAATAAATGTTAGAGAACAACAAATTGACAAGTACTAGTTGTACAGGGAAATGTCATACATTCAAGTACTGTCAAGTTTATTTTGTTGACTTTTCGATACATATATGCAAAAACCAGCATTCCTGACTTTGCCGGCCGTCTCCAGATCCCATCCTCGTCGCCATGTGCAGGCGGCGGGGAGCGATCTGGGCCCTTTTTCGCGCCGCGCGGGCTGTGGCCAGCAGCCCGGGCTCGCTGGGTCGGAGAGAACAGGCGACACGCTGGAATTAGGCACGGACGCATAATGGTTGATTCAAAGATTGTCTACTTACACCGAAGATGGTCGCGGTGCAGGCAGGAAAATTTGCTTGGGTTGCGGTTACAGACAGGAAAGAAGAGAGGCAGACAAGAGTTCTAAACTCGCGAACTCTAGCCCAATCCGGCTGAAGGCTCTAAACACGCGAGCCCGTCGTGTCAACCGAAGAAAGTACTTGTACAAAAGAGCTCTGATCCTTTTGTTCACTCACCATTCACTCACACGAAGTTTGCTAGGCTCCGTGGGTCCTTTTTTTGCGCGCAGGGAGAGGGATACGTCGAGGTTTGCACTCGGTGACGGGGAGAGGCTAGAGGCCGATCAGACCCCTGTTGCCTGCTTGAAATGCACTGGGTCCAATAGGTTCCGCAGCGCTTAGAGATCTTCACACAGCATGAAGTCTCCTCCTCCTGGTGTTCGTGGAGTCCTCCCTTACGGGGGTTCTCCTCGGAGTTCTCCAACTTGGGCGGAAACCACCCAAGCCTTTTATACGGCTAGCAAGCCAATCACTAGCCGCCGTGTGAATAATTTAACGCAAGCCAATAATGGGACTCGAATTAGAATACAAATGGCGGGAACTCTTTGCACCGAGCATTTCTGTGCTGCAACAAGAAATGCACCCTGCAAAGAAAGCTACAATTTGGCGGGAAAATAATTCAGTGGTCCCAAAGCACACACAAAAACAAAAATCACACCCTTTGGGTTGTGACACTGACAAACTTATTTTGCACTTTAATCTGTGCTCTTGCTTGTGACTTCACAGTTCTTTGTTAGAGAGAAGACAGTGATGCACAAAGAGAATTCTGACCTGAGAAGCTCAATCCTGTTTTTTTTGTACAACAAAATTATCCACAGAGCCTGAAGGGAGTTTGTATGCACAAGTAGTAAAGGTATGGGTCCCAAAAGAAGTATCCATCAGAGTTTATGGGTTTCAAATAAACAAACTGGAGCTTTTCAAAGCAGATTGGTGAACTTTTTTGGGTCGGTAAGGCTTCTCATTAATCCCAGGGAAAAATTATTAAAGATTATTTAAATTTGAGGATATATGTAATTAAGAGGACTAATAATAATCTCATAAAAATTGTAGGTATGAAAAACAAAACAAATATTTAAAAAGTATTTAAAAAGGAATCCTGACAATTTGGAAATATGAAAATGCAACGTTTAAGAATCCAGATACCCTTAACTTTGTATCACAACAATCTCCAGTTTTCTCTTCTTCCTTATTTTCTTTCATTAACTGCTTTGTTAGATGTTATTTTTTGATCAAAGTCTTCTTTTAAGAGCCTTAAGAAGTGTATAGGCTTAGGCTGTCGGCAT